TCATATTATTTTCTATAACATATGTATTTATATTTGAAATAAATTAGGGTAATTCTGTTTCTTTTTTTATGCATCTGATTAGTGCTTTCCTTAAATCGAACTCGAAATAAATAAATGAAAAATAAATTTCAAATTTTATCTCCTTATCTTTACGTATAATTGATCGGTCATTAGAGTATACTAATGTTTTCACGTACGAGTAATTAGTGTGATTTTATTATGTGGTACAGAATTATTTTCACTATTGTTTTATAATATAAATTATATAGAAAATTTTTCTATTATATTTAAATATATATACCAAAAAATGTGTCCTCGTATGCGTTTTAATATTAAAATAAATGCATCAAATTTGATGATAATATTTTTTGCATATATTTATTTTAAATTAAACTTATAAAGTACGATCATAAATATTGTTTTTTAAAAGCCAAATAACAACAATATCAATACACGTTTTAGTCTACACAATATACGTTGATAATTATCGAGTAATTTATTATTTCCTTTTCTTTTCTTTTCTTTTCTTTTCTTTTTTTTTCCCCCATTTCGTTTTATTTTTCATTTTTAATTATTACACGTGTTTAACTTTATCGGTCATGGTATACTTTATCACGTCATTATGTAATACAAACTGCTCCATTTTCTTAACCTGCCATTTATCGATAGTTAACGCTTATGGTAATACTAATTACCTTTTTTATTAGTTAGACTGAAAGAGATATACAGTATCGTGGTAAAACCAACAGGTGTGCGATGATACTAATGAAACAACGCATTCCGATTCCTTTTATTTGGTATATCAAACATTGACCCTAATGAAGTTTATTGAAACGATTGATTAGTTTTGTATTAGGTGAGAAAGAAAATGTTTGATTTAATCGAAAGATTACTTTCAATGAAACTCATGCAACTAAACACTTTTATTTTTCCTATTTTTTTTATCACGAATCGTGACTTGGTTATCAACACAAATGCATATAAACATATATGAACATATATATACTTGTATATTAAACGAAATTTCATTTGATATACAAAAAAATATTAAATTGGGGAAAAAGTTTCTTCGTATTTTGATACAAATATTATAAAACTATTGTTTAATATTTTAAATTGTGATTTATGAGTATACTCGTAATGAAAAAATAAATTATTTATTTAATCAGTTAATTATTGTGCCCCTTTTGAAAAGTGTTTTACTTAAATTCTGTCGTAAAAAATAATATTGCAAATTTCTCGATGACGTGTATACTCTTCAATTACAGTTAATTATTTAATAACATCGTATACAAAACAAAAAATAAAAAGAAACTTTACGTTCTCTATTGAATACAATAAAAAGTTACAAAATCATTTGAAATATACATTAATCCGTATTAGATAATGATTGGGCAAACCTAACAACATTAAAATTATTTAATAACGCGTGTCATACTTGTAATAATAGATACACGTGTGTACTACCTAGTACACAAGATTTATTCCAACTATTATAGTTACGATTTATTTTTTTAATCTCAGGGTCCTGTTACCAATACAAAATTCATTTAATTTAATTGAATATCATTTAACTTTTATCTTTGATTGAGGATGAATTGACGGGGTTAGTTGTTGTTGTTGAACGAGGTTTATTTTAACGATGCAAAAATCGATCCATTGTTTTCAATGGAACTAACGCCACGCCTTTCGAATAGTACCGCCTTACTTTTGTAATCTATCCTAAGATCGTATCCGTTAAAAGGCATGTCGATCTTTAACTATCTCGATGCTAGTATTCCGTATCGAGCTTCCAAAGGGTCAAGAAAGTTCACCTGATTCGTGAGATCAGGACTAATACCGGTTAAGAAGCTCAACGTGTTCACGTGGCAGGTTTTTTTCAGTATTATACTTTGTACAAAATGAACAACCTATTGTTTATCAAGTACGGAATTTATTATTTGCATTGTTGAAATTGGTAATTTCTGTGTCTGTGTGTGTATGTATGTTGTGTAAGTAATGTTGAATTTGCAAGTAAGATAATATACAGAATATGTCGGCACGATGAGCTTTTCATCTGAAATGTATACATATTATTGAATTTATATTTGTAGTTTATTGATTGTTTGATTAGAGAAGATATCTAATAGATAATATAATTATCGTATAATCGTTGCTAATGTCATACAGATTTATGGTTATTACATCATCGAGAGATCATGTATTGATATCGTGAAAGATTGTGAAACGGTTTAAAGGTTTTATTTAATAGATCGTTAAATCATCATAAATTAGATCTCTATGAGATCGAGTTTGTGGGACTATAAATAATCAAACTTATTGAGTCCCTTATATATATAAATATATTCGCTAGTTTATCTTGTAATTATATTTTCTTTTCGAAATATTTGATTAATCTTAAGTTACAAATATTTATATTAATGTGAAAACTCTGTGAGTAAGTTGACCGAAAAATGGTAAACTAATGGTCCGATATTTTTTCACCAATCCTACAATAATAAAATATTTTCTGTCAATTCTTGACGAATAAATATTATTTATCAATTAAATGAAAAAAACATCACATTACTCCAATAAATTTCAGTTCGTGATCGAACAATTTTTATATAAAGAAGAAATATTTTGTTTGTCGTTAATATTAAACGATATATAATTTAATCTAAATAAAAAAAAAAATAATAAATGGTTACAGCTGCTGGTGAGTGGCGGGCAGCCGACGACAGCAACCTCACCTGCTATGTCGTCAGGAGGAGCCCTAAGCCCTGGTGCCCTTTCACCTTCGTCAACAGCAACAACAACACCAGGAGCTGGTGGAGGAACTGGTGCATCTGGTGGTGCAACTACTCCCGTAGCTGCGACTACGGGGCCTGGATGTTGTGAAAATGGTAGGCCGATGATGACGGACCCAGTTACCGGCCAAACAGTTTGCAGTTGTCAATACGATAGTGCTGCGAGATTGGCATTAGGAGCATATCCAAGATTGGCACCAACTGCTACCTCATATTCCTCTTACCCTACACCAACACCTTCTACTACCGATCAGGCCCCTTATCCTAGTATCGGTATGGACAGTTCTGCCTTCTATTCACCTTTGGTAAGTTTCATTATTTTATTTGATTAGATTTGTTAATTTGACACTTTTTTTCGTCGTGTGTTACTCGAAATCAATTTTTGTTTCATCTCAATACAATTTTATTCTTATCAAATTGATTCAATTGTCTTAATTTTTAATTCAAGTTAATTTCAAATAAAAACATTGGTAAATGTTGATTGACAAAATTAAAATATAATTCGGAATGCGTAATTTGATGTATGCAAATTTTGTTCATATTGGGTTACCGTGAATTTAGAACAAAGTGATATTTAAATATGATAAAATATAAATAAAATTTCTAAATTAACGTTAACTATTTCAATATATGTGCCCATGTTTATGAAATTGGTCTAACAAGGAGACCTTACGGTAGTGTCCTCACGGATTTTAACGAGCTTTGGTATATTAGTAATATACTTTTAGGGTGTTAATGTGTACAAAAAAATTCAAAATTTTAAAAGCATTTTTCTCAAAATTAGCTTCGCATTTTGATAAAATACTTTACCACGTTAACACCCTAAAGGTATACTACTAATATACCAATGCTCGTTAAAATCCGTGAGGGCACAACCGTAAGGTCTCCTTGTAAGTCAAAATTAATAAAAAAATGAGTTTATCAGTTATTTCAAACCACACTATTTTAAACTAAATTAATTCAATATAATTTTCACGATATTGTCAAAAATAAACAAACCATTAAATAGTATTTGTTATTTCAATATTATATAGAATTCATTTAATATTCAAATGTAATCCTTGAAATATCCCGAAACAAAAGATATATGACTTACTTTCATAATTATGGGCCACATATAACAATCTAACATATATTTCTCGATAATATATTAAAATACGATCACAAATACAAAATATAAGTTTCATTGAATTTGGTTGAGCGTAAGAAGTTTAACCCCTCAACCTAAAACTACGGGCATAGCCCGTAGTACGATGATCGAGTCAGATATAAATATTAGCGGTGGGCTTTCTTAAAATTACAAATATTTGTAAAAATTTCATATAATAAATATAATAAAAATAAAAATAAAACAAAAATAAAATACAAATTTTCGAAAGTAAATCGTAGGTTAACGGGATTAAATGGATAGTTTGGTCGAGGTAGGTGTACCACTCGATTATTATACTCCTCTCTCTAACCTTCAACTTAAGACGGATTAGCACGTGGTCTCGGTACGAATTAGCTTGGAATCCCAGTGATGGAAATGTTCACGGCAGATCGGACACGGACGGTCCTTGATCTCCCTTTTGGCCCACGGAAAATCTCTCTCTCTCTCTCTCTCTCTCTCTCTTTCTCTCTATCTCTTGTTAGATAAATCATACGTCTCACTTTCTGGATATATGTGCCCTGACGTTCAGGGTTGCACCGGCTGGTAAAGATTATTCAAGCATAGTTATAGTACTAAAACTCGTCGAAGAACGAGAAGTGATAATCTCGTTTGAGTTCTCCGTTCGCGGAAGACGCGTCAGTTGGTAAGTTTAACGAGCACCCTAGCCCCCCTTCACCACCCCCTACCCACCCAGTCTTTTGCTCATGACGAATTCACGAACATATTTTAGAGGGGTGTGTCCTTTGCTTATTCCTCCTTCTTCGTTATGTGACAAGAGAAAAAAAAGGAGAGAATAAGAAAAGAAGAAAATTAGGAGAGACAAAGTAAAGGAAAAGGGAGAGAATAAAAAAAAGGGAAAAGGTAGATTGTCAAAGACAGAAATGTACGATATAGTCAAAGGATAAGGGACACAGAGAAAAATAATAAAATAAAGATAAAGAGATAGAGAGAGATAGGGATTAATAAGAGTATGAGATTGATATATATATTGAATATATTTTGTTGTTGATAATAATTATTTTTTTAATAATATTAATAGCTTGGTGTATGTTTAAAGTAATAATGTGTAAGAATAAATCCAAATATTCGGTCTTTTACTGACGTATTTGGTATGTGTTAACATTCAAACATGTGAGTCATGACAATCTCCAATTTCGGCTATTCATGGTAATAAAATATAATAAATATAATTATTATATTATATAATATGATACATTAAAATATAATAATACGTTATATAATATGTAATAATAAAATATAATATTATATCATATATATTTTCTTTTTGATAACGAAGAGATTCGTTTTATTGTAATTGATTTCGATTCGTTTAAATTGAAA